TCCAAAGCTGCAGGAGGGGGCAGACTAGTGTGTGTCCTAACCTGCAGGAGGGGGCAGGTTACTGTGTGTCCAAACCTGCAGCCCCAAAGATAGGGAGACCAGGAAGGTAGAAAGCTGCCATCTCTCTAAGGACAGAGGAAGATGAGCTAGCAGTCTGTCTCCTGTGTATTGTGGGCTCCTGCAGTGGACCATAATGGGCTGCAACTGACTGGAAACACTGTCATCTGTACCATATACAGAACTACAAAACTGACAGTGAGCTGTGTGATCACAAGTCTACCTCCGACTTCAGATATCACCATGGATAGAACCACCCGCATTATTCCCACGAGTCTTGCTTGCTCAATGAGGGGTCCAGTAGTGATTTCAAAGTGATAACCTGTGTGTCATCACAGAGGTAGGAGCAAACAAGAAGTCTGGGGCAGTTGAGGACAGTCTCACAGGTGTAAATGGTAATTGGGTCTTAGATTCTTTATTGGGCCCGTCTGAGAAGGGCAGGGCACCTGCAGGTGTATGGGATAGGGGTGTAAGAGCTCCTGTAGGATGGGTGCAGAAGACGGAGGCGGAGCTAGAGTAGCGGACAGCTCCAGGCATTGGGGGCTTCACACAGAGCCATGGGACAGACACTTTGCTTTCTAGGAAATGGGACAAGAAGAGAGTGAATGCTGTCATTTTCCGGAAAGGTGGTTGTCAGGAGGGTGAGGGGGTGGGTGGCCACCAGGTGGTGTAGTCCCAGTGAGAGAGAAATGCGGGTGGAACCAGAGAAGCACTGGAGAAAGCAAGTGAGGCTTTGCCTTTGGCTGTGGAGTGACTGCCTGGGCTTCCTATCAAAATGGCGAGCCTCTCAGAAAGAGGAGTAAGGTGTGACGGGGCACACAGGAGCCACCGTGCCTGTGGGGTGGAGAGTGGAGAGAAGCCTGCAGGCATTTGGGAGAAGTCAAGATTTAATTCTGAGGGTGTGAGAACTCACTGGAGTATGTAAGCTGGGGAGTGACTTGACCTGGCAGATTCTTAGTGAAATTCTGTACTTAGCACAGGAGCCTGATAAGAGACGTGGATGCTTTTGGTTTTCTCAGACAGATCCAATAAAGGATTTAAGACCCAGTTACTTACCATTTACACCCGTGAAACTATCCTCAACTGGATTTCTGTAGAATTATTTGTTGAGCCAACATCTAAGAGAGCCGTGCTCCTTTCCCGGGGTCAGGACATGTTACATTCCCTGGCCCCAGCATGACAGGTTTCGTTCTTCTTTATATCCAGGTCAGTGTTTGGTTTTGATTCAGATCATGTTTTCTTTTTTAAAACAAAATGCTATGGTATTCTCTAGAAATATTTTAATATCATTCATAAAAAACATTCCAGTAAACATTTCATTTGAATGATATCTCACTAAAAAAAGTTTTGTTATTGTCTCTGAATAGATTTTCAAGCAAAATGATTTATGTGTGTGTGCGTGTGTGAGTGCATGTGTGTGCGTGTATGTGTGTGGGAGAGAGACAGAGACAGAGAGAGAAAGACAGAGAGAGACAGAGAGAGAGAGAGAGAGAGAGAGAGAGAGAGAGAGAGAGAGAATGCCTGTGCAGGCGTCTGTCCTCTCAGTCCCTGCAAAATGAATTTTCTTGGTTAGTTCCAATCTTCAAGATTCTGGAGGTCAAACCAAATGAGGCCAGCAGGGGGCGTGTGTCATCTACTATTAAACCACTCTTAGTCACCTAGTTCTTTCCACTGTTTCTGGGGCCAACCCTCCACAGAGTAAGGGAGGAAATAGGGTTGCTCTTTTTTCCTGGTGAAGATGTTTGGGGTCAGAGATGCCTTCCCTTGGTAGGGATCTGGGAGCCTTAAAAGGGCGAGTGAGAAGGAAGTTTCTCAGAGCAAGAATAGGGTTCAAGTGCTGGCTGCTGTCCCCATGTCCTCTGTCTATTTAAGAATGGCCCACCCTTCCTTACCTTATGAGATGTGCTAAGAATGCCATCTACTCTAGAGCATTCACTCTGTCTTCAGGTGAGTTATGTCCAGGCCGTACTGCTTTCCTCCTGGGTTCTGAGCCTTGAACCTGTTTGTTTTATTGACTTGTTTGCGATCTTCATCACACATGCATTTTATCTGTTTGCTGAACCCAATTCATACCAAGTGCAGCACAGGTCCTAAGTATGATTCAGTGAACATGAGGCAGGCTCTTCCACTCTCATAGAGCTCACAGCTGGGTTGGGAGGGAGATGTCCACAAGGAATGGGTCCCTTCCCAGACCAGACACTGGGAAGAATCAGAAGCTCAACCAGCAGGAAAATGGATGGAGTTAGAAAACATTATTTTGAGTGAGGTAACCCAGACACAGAAAGACAATTATCACATGTACTCACTCATAGGTGGTTTTTAAACATAAAGCAAAGAAAGGCAGCCTATAAACCACAATCCCAGAGAACTTAGACAAAATGTGGACACCAAGAGAGATTCACATAGATCTAATCTACGTGGGAAATAGAAAGTAGGAAAAGACAAGATCTCCTGAGTAAATTGGGAGCATGGGGACCTTGGGGGAGGATTGAAGCGGGAAGGGGAGAGGCAGGGACGGGAGCAGAGAAAAATGTAGAGCTCAATAAATATCAATAAAAAAAGAATGAAAAAAAAGAAGCTCAACCACGAACTTGCAGCCTGTTCTGGGCTTCTGTGGACATGGAGAACTGATGATGCAGAGATGCAGATGATACGGAGATGTGGATGATGTAGAGATGCAGATGATGCAGAGATGCGGATGTTGCAGAAATACAGATGATGCAGAGATGCAGATGATGCAGAGATGCGGATTTTGCAGAGATGCGAATGATTCAGAGATGCGGATGATGCAGAGATATGGATGATGCAGAGATGCGGATGATGCAGAGATGCGGATGATGCAGAAATGCAGATGTTGCAGAGATATGGATGATGCAGAGATGCGGATGATGCAGAAATGCATGTGTTGCAGAGATGCGGATGATGCAGAGATGCGGATGATGCAGAGACGTGGATGATGCAGAGATGCGGGTGATTCAGAGATGTGGATGATGCAGAGATATGGATGATGCAGAGATGCGGATGATGCAGAGATGGATGATGCAGTGACACCCCCGAGATGCAGGCTCTTAGAAGCCAGGCATGCTCCAGCAGACAGTCGCATACCCATGCACACACAGACAACACTAAACAGACTCAGAGGAATCTAATCTTTTTTAAAAAAATATCCATCTTAACTTTTTGAAACAGTCTGCCAGTGAACTTCGAGCTCATTGGTTTGGCTGCAGTGACTGGCCAGCAAGGTCCAGGAACTGTCTGTCTCTACCGTCCCTGCACTGGGGTATCAGGTGTATGCCTCCATGCCTGGCTAATGTGGATTCAGGGAGACGGAGTTAAGGCCCTCACACTGCACAACCATCACTTGCTGACCCACGTGACTTCCTGGCTCCTGGTGTCCTATCTGTAAAGCACAGATCACATCCATAAGCATTCCACTTCCACGACCTTATCTCCCTGCACGGGCCCCACCTTCAAGCCTCTCCCAGATGCAGAGGTTTTTCTTAATATCAATATTCAGCATACAAATATGGAAGAGAAACAGAAATTTAGTCTGTTGCAGGAGTTACAGACATTGACTAACCTTTTATAGTCTCTAGAAACTTCTGATTGATGAAGAGTTTTTTTTTTAACTGCCAAATACTCAATAGTGGGTCATTATTCTCTCTTTATGGCTGGGAAAATGGGCTGTGTTCCAGGCTCCCCAGCCAGGAGGCAGCGCAGATGGTGTTGGTTCTGTCCTTACAGCCACCTGCAAGGGCAGAGGATCACAAGTTTTAAGTGAATCGGAATTTTTCTAGCATTTTTAAATCTATATAGAAACCTTACAAGCCGGGTTATAAGGAATGTCTTTTAAAATTCTAATAAAATGAGCAAGGAGGGGGCATCTAGTGGCCACGGGAAGTGCTCTCTGCTGAGTAAGGGTTAGAAGGGACTTCTGACCCTTGTTCTGCCCTGGCTCAGAACTCCCCACATGTTGAGATTGGAAGAGAACAGGGTTAAGCAGGGTCGGGGGCTGGTTCTCCCAAAGTATAGAGAGTAGTAGAGTACCCAGAGGATGCTTGAAAAGGTCCATGCGGTGCATCTTGGCTTATCTGTGCCCTTCTGGGGCTGCCTGAGGATAGGTGGACTTACTTCCTAGGCTCCAGGCTGAGGGTGGCAGTAACTCAATCAGTAAACTGCTTCATGGGCCAGCTGTATGCTTTGAGGGGCAGCAGGATGTACCTGGAGGAGGGTCACTTCCAGAAGAGAGAGTTCTGGAAGATGGAACCCGAGAGCAGTCTCATAAGAACCTGCCTTCTGGGTAAGATGATCGGCACTCATGTATAATGGAGAGAAACCTATCCTCTGTACCCAGAGCTCCGTGGACTGCCCCAGCTCTGCCCTCCCCAGGACCAACCCTGGTCACGGCATTGTCCAGTGTTCTCATGGGCTGGGAAGCTCAGGTGTCTCCTTAGAAGTGGGCCCCTACTTGCCCTCAGAGTGGCCTGGAGGGGTTGCGAGTGCCAGCCCCCCCCCCATTGTGAGGCCAGGTGGGAAGTGGATGCCAGGGCATGGTGTCACTTGAGTCTCTGCAAAGGGGTGTGGAGGAAGGAGGAGAGAGGACGACCTTCTCATTTTCATCAACAAGTGATAGATCTCAAGAAGAAGCCCCGGGGGCAGGTGCAGAATGAGAGGAGGTGGCCCAGAATGAGCAGGGAACAGAGAGGGGGGAAAGTAAAGAAAAAGAAAAAAAGCGCTGTGTTGGGTTGAGGGACCAGAGAGGAGAAAAGTGGGACAGTGCTTTGGGATGGGGGACCCAGGAGACCTAGGGAACAAGGCCAGATCCATCCGGACCTGAAGCCCTAGGAGGGCTCCGCAGTTCTCTGAGTGAGAGGCACAGGTCTAGGGAAGAGGTGGAGTTAGACCGGTGAGTGTACCGGGTCCCACAAGAGGCAGGCAGCAAAATGATGCCCCAGAAGAAAAAGCGGAGGAAGAAAGACATCGACTTTCTGGGCCTGTACGAGGAGGAGCTGCTGAACTACAACTCAGAGGATGACGAAGACGAGCTGGAACATGAGTACTACAAGGCAAAGGGTGCGAGCTGCCTGTGGGGTGGTGGGGTCTGTTCCTCTGTCCACTGCTTCCCTCTGAGTCTGGGGGTTAGGGAGTGCAGGGCACAGGGCGCAGGGCACAGGAGAAGAGGGAGGGCTCCCGGGTTCCTGGGCTCCCATGAAGCAGAATAGGGTAGCAGTTCTGGGACTGCCTCGCAATGCACACGGTACAGGACCAGAAGTACCAAGAAGAGTACTTACCTTTGGGCGCGCGGGTGGAACCGCTGATCGAGACCAGAGCGGGAGCGTTTCTAGCCCCCACAGAGCTCCTTCATACCTCTGCCAGACCTAATAAGTCTCTGAATCTATCCCCAGGAGCCGCTTTTTCCTATTCTTTAACTTCATATAAATGGAGTCACACAGTATATACTCTTTGGGGAGCCGGGGTTTTCCTCTGTAGCTCAGTTCCTCTGACTATTTACGATGTAGCCAAGTCTAGTCTTGACTCTCAGAAGTCCTCATGCCTTAGGTGCCTGGCGCTGGGATTACAGGGGTGAGATATGTATTTTGCTGTGTGTATATTTTTGGGTCTATCGTTTTTCTCACGTGACATCCCACCTGAGAGGTGTGTGCCTGCTGTGACATGATACATAGTTTTTCTTTTCAGGCACGAATAAGATTGCATGTTATAAACACATCACTGGTGATTTGACGATTCTCCTGTCGAATTCCTTACACCTTATTTGTGTACTATGGTGAATAAAGAGGCTACAGATCTTGGACATTTGCACACTCGTTTCTCCTGGAATTAAAATTGGAAGCTGAAGTGCTAGGTTACAGGGTGAACATCTGTTCACCTATCGGTGCGTAGAGCCTCTAATGCACCCCCATTACATACAAGAGGGGCAGTAGATTCACGTTCTGCCGACGCTGGTATTGTCAGTTCTCTTTATTCCTGCCATCCTGGTGGGTGTCTGGTGGTGTTTTTCTGGGGTTTTCATTTCCCTGATGAATGATGGGGCCGAACGTGTTTATTTGCACATCTCCTGTATTTGGTGGCCATTCAGACACCTTTGATGACGCATTAAGACATTTTTGCACTTTTCAGCATTGCTGAAACTTATTATAGAGTACATCTATTTTAAATGTCCTACTCAATTAGTATTATACCCGTGTGATTAGTCAATGTGAAGAATATTTACATTAGAGAGAGCATTGTTCCCTGCCAGCTTCCTGTTCCAAGCAGCCACTCTTCAGCCTCCTGTTAAAGTAGGTCCTATTTGCTATTGATGGCTTCCCATGAATAGCATTGTAAAGAATGAGTGTTTCTTAGTCTACATATGTGCTACATAGCATGTGCCAACAGCGTGTTGCTTTTCACGGCTGAGTGGTACCCAGGGTGTGGGTATACTGCGGATTGTTAACCCATTCACCTGCTGATAGACATTTAGGTGGTTTCTCATTCAGCTCTGCTCAGAGTAAGCTATTATGAACATTGAGTTCATGGGTTTCTATGCATCTGTGTGTCTGTTTTGGTCTCTCTCGGGTCAAAACCTAAAACTGGAAGTTTTAGATCTTATGATAAGTGATTGTCTATCTTTTAAAGACTTGTGTGTTAAAAGTATGCAGTCCCCGTCTGATTTGTTGATGTGAATTATTCATACTTTCTGGGTATGAGTCTTTTGTTGGATGTATTCCAGGTGCCATATTTTCATCTGTGACTCACTGTCATTTCCTTGATGGCCTTAACTATAATTAAATTCAGATGAGCAACTTCTATATGGCGAGTGTCTGACTTTAGGAGTAGCCGTGCACTCCTGAGGGAGCTAGCGAGTCAACTCCCACACCTCCTGGAGCCCATATCTTCCTCTTCTCTAAGTCTTTTTGGGTCTCTTTCTACAAATTTCCAATGACGTGGCCCTGGCCTTTCCATCGAGCTGGCCGTTCTCCTGTACTGTATCAGCTTGACACAGAGATGCCCCTGTGCACACACAGATAATGCGGGCAGCACTTGTGGCTGCCCTGATGCTGAACAGTTTACCCCGAGGTGCAGGCTGTGATGTCTCAAGCCTTGTCACAAGTCTCATGAGAGGCAGAGTCCAAACGCATGGACTGCTTTCCTTCCCCACGCATGGCTCCTCTGCCGAGCTTTGTCAGAACTGGGGATATCCAGTGTTCCTCTCAGCTCCAGACACTGCAGATCCCATTCTTCACAGGCAAGGACCAGAGATGCCCCTGAAGGGATTCAGAATTAACCTCATGCCATGTTCATGATGCTTGAGCTAATACACTGTCTGCCAAAGGAACAGGTGCTAGTTTTTGGACGAAATGGGCTTTGTTTGCATGAACAATAGCTTCAAAAAAGAAAGGCTATTTATTATCTTATATGTGTCAGGGTCTCTACATTCTCAATTCCCAGAATAGTTCTGCAAAGCAGATATTTCTATCCAGTCTTATAGGCAGGTAGCTACTTGTAAAGAGCCACCCTGGTTCTAATGGCTACTTCTAGATCTCTGTGGCATTGTGTGACGTTGATGCCCAACACTTTGCCTCAGCATGCAGAGGCTTGTGGGTTTGCAGTGAGATGGATAATAATCAGAACACACCTTCTCCGGGCCCAGAATGCTACAGTTGCTCAGAAGGATTGATTCTACTCTCCACTATCCACCTCTCAACTTTGCTACTTTGTATGTGGGACAAAACCTTCCTGCAGAATGGGCTGCAGATGGGTAGTATTGAAAGATGAATGTTAAACCCTCAAACGGTAACTCAATCCACAAGACCTCCTCAAGAGAGCTCGAATATACTCTGCAGTGGGCAATCTGTTCTAAAGACCAGAAGTAGGAATGAGATTAGCTTTACAGCAATGATCAAGTGTGATGAGGGGCACGAAGCCCCTAGCTCAGGGCTAGGTACGTAGTAAATCATCAGTCAGTGCTGGTTGTGATACAGTTTCAAGCATTTGATGTTTGTACACTTCCATAATGTGGTGAACAGCTGACCTGGGCCCCGAAGATTTCAAATACCATTTCCCACATTTGACCAGCTCTCCACATTGCAAATTCCTCCTTCCCAACGCAGTCATTTCCTTTTGATTAGCCTTCCTCCCTGCACACACGTGTGGTCGGTCCCCTGAATCAGCGTCTCCAGCCCACCACTGACTCAGAAGTGAGTCTCTTCCTAAAACACGCTGGGGAAGCACACTTCATTGGGAGATAGGAATAGCAGCTGGATAGGTTGGTGTGTGGTTGTTCCCACTTCTCAGCAGAGGTGATGTGGCTCTGGGGGTGGCTGACTGCAACAACCCTGTTCAGGCCGGGTCTGTGCTAGATTCTGGGAGTTGATTCCAAAAATGGATTCAAGATACATTCCCAAAGTTTCGCCAACACTCCTGGATGCTGAATGCCCCTGCTCATCCTACCCAGTCCCCTTGGTTATAACAGATCCTTCCTGTCTTAGTTAAGTTTCTGTTGTGGCAAAGAGACACCATGGCCACAGTGACTCTTATAAAGGAAAACCTTCCACTGGGACTGGCTTACAGTTCAGAGATTTAGTTTACTGTCCTCATGGCAGGAAACATGACAGGCGCTAGAGAAGGAGTTGAGAATTTTACATCTAGATTGGCAGGCGGCAGGAAGAGAGAGACACTGGACCTGGCTTGAGCTTCTGAAACCTCAAAGCCCACCCCCAGGGACACACTTCCGCCAGCAAGGTCACGCCTACACCAACAAGGCCACATGTCTCAATCCTTACAAATAATGCCACTCCATGTGAGTCTATGGGGTCATTTTCATTCCAACCACCACACTGATCTTGAGATGTTCTCCCTCAGGAAGTACGCAGGTGCTGACACCCTGACCAGGAACAGTGTTGGCAACAAGCCATGCAAGCTTCAAAAGGACCATTGGCAGGGAACTCAGTGTCACTGCCAAAGACACAGCCCTTGGGGGATTAACCCATGCAGAATGAAGCTGGCCTTGTCTCTACGCTTTCAGATTCCTCTGCAAAAGCAGTGTCTGGCACCGACTGTGAGTTTCGGTCTAGAGTTAGTGTGGGTTTGACCTGGTTCAGGATTGTGAGAATGGGATTCTGGGTTCTCTTCTGAGCCTGCAATCTGTTTTTTTTTTCTCCTCTAGTGTATGAGGTGGTCACAGCCACAGGGGATGTTCGTGGTGCAGGGACAGATGCCAATGTGTTCATCACAATCTTTGGAGAGAATGGGCTCTCTCCCAAGCTCCATCTCACCAGCAAGTGAGTACTGCTTTGGTTTGTGGGGATCCTGGGAGATTAGTTTGGTTGGCCAAGTTCTAGAACTCAGGGGTGGCCTTCTTCTCTGTAGAGGCGAACAGTTAGATCACAGCCATGTTGAATGACAAGATTTCTCTGTCAACAATCCAAATATCATCTTGAGGATTTCCCAGTGCTTTCCTTCCAATTCTCCTTTGTCCCATTCTAGATTTTTATAAACAGTAATGTCTAGTTTAGATCTCCCAAGGGATACCCATGAGTATCCCTTGATATTGGAGAATAAGCAATCTAGTTGAGGAAAAGTTCCACAGCTATTTAAATCTACTAACCTGGTCCATTCATAGGAAAACTGAGGCCGAGGAAGAAGCTCACAGACCTTCAGGTTTTGTGTGTGTGTGTGTGTGTGTGTGTGTGTGTGTGTATGTGTATGTGAGAAACGGTCCTTCATTGACATTGGTGCTACAGACATTTTAATTGATGACACGAATCTGTGGCCCTGGAGAGTTGTTCCACAGGTTCTGGTCCCTAAGGTTTGTGGCCTGGGACCTCTAGAGGACAAGAGGTGAAGTTATAGAGAGGTGGCGTGGCCATGCTAGGAGACCGCAACACTGCACTTTGCAGAGTGACCAGTCTTGTGATGTGTGAGTCCTAAGCCCACACAGCAATGCTGAGATGAGCATAACCCCTTCTTTTGTCCATTTCTGCAGAACAGGGTACCCGCCTCCTTGCACTACTCATACTGCACGTGACTCTCGTGGAAGTCTTTCCCTCCTGTGACGTGGGCACGGTAAAGGGAATACATGAAATATTCATCCTTTTTGCCATGCATCCTCCCAGAGGAAGGAGATGCTCTGGGAAGATGGCCAGCTGGTTTTTGTGGTCCCCAGACTGTCGTGGGTTCTCACAGTCTTTCCTCCTTTTACATACCCAGCATCCTTTGCTTCTTCCCTCCTGCTTATCAGTTTACCAAACTTTCTTTCGGGGAGGCCCAGATCATTGATGTAACACACCAAGAGAGAAGGGTTGTCACTGAGCCCGCTTCTCCAGATTAGCCTAGGGACAGGAGTCGGCAATCCAGAGACCACTGGGGTCTATTGGGGAGGCTCCGGGAGAGAATCTCTGCCTAGGTCTGTGTCATGCTTGAGGCTGGGAAGCAAAAATAAGTGAGCAGACAGGAGCTCCATCTGCTAGTCAGGGCAGCTTGACAGCAGCGTGAGGGTGGACCTGGGTGGGGATAGAAGCTGGGTGCTGCTGAGACTAGAGAGTACTGTGAAGGGAGGTGTTGGATCTGCAGTGGAGGTGCAATTGGGTTTCCTGGGCCCCTGTACTTGTCCTGGGTCATAAAGAATAGGCAGAACTCGGTAGACACCTGAAATGTGTAGTCAGAGTGACACTTCACAGGGAAAGATACAACCTAAGTCTTCAGTGCTGAAATGAATGAGGATAAGAGAGGAATACAAAAGATGGGTTAGACCCAGAGAGACTGCAAGGCTTGTGGACAGGGAAAGTGCTCTAGGTGGGCCCAGATGGAACTGCCAGTGAGAACCATGTTGCTGTCTTGAAGCATACGGGAAAGGCTAGAGGCCAGACTGGAAGGCCTTGCCTGAAAGCCAGTCAGTGGATACTGAGTTGACAGTGGCAGCTGATGTCACCTTAACTGTGAGCAAGAGGCCAGGATCTGGCTGCGGTGAGACATTGGGGGAAAAGGCTACAAAGACAGCTGTGCAAAATTCTGCTCACGACACCACTGCCACTCAGCTGGAAACTGAGTTCAGGAGGGGACTGTAATTTGCTGAAGGTTTGGGATGTGTCACACATGGGTGGCAGCTGAGGTTACTTCTGAGTCCCCATGTAATGCAAGATGTGCTGCCTCCTGCTCTGTCTCTTCGCACTTCATTGTCTGCCCGGTCCTCTTCCTCACACTCAAACCAGACCCACTGAGTTACCTGCAGCACGGATCCTTGTATACATGCATGTGTCCACGTGCGTAGCACACACGCACACACACACACACACGCTTTTGTATGTAAGACTTCTCCGGTAGCTCTGGGCCTGAGAAAGGGTTCACACTGACCAATGCAAACAAATGAGTTGCAGCTCCCCCGTATTAAAATTCAACCTTGATCTTTCTTGGCACTTCTCCCAAACCCTTTCCATAGCCTCTGGCCGCATCTCTCATCTCTTGTCTCCTGTCCTCCCTTTTTCTGTTTCAGCCTGATTTGAGCTCATTCCTGTGCCCTTTCCTGTATCCTAGAACACAGAATCCCACATGGCTTAGCAGGATTCACCCCTCACCCAATATAACACAATTCCTATTTCAAGAAGATCTTTACTATCTGATTCCTAGGCAGCCAAGATGACATTCACTTAGTTCCCACACAGAAACCCTCCCCCAATCTCTACCCCAGTGAGGTCTCTACAAAATGATCCCAGGAGGCTACGAGTTAAAGATATGGCAAAAGGATGGGGTTTCATGTATGTTACGAATGCTGTCTTTCCTGCTGAGAATCCACACCCCAGTGTGTGAGAGAGTCCCTGGCATTTTAGTCTGGAGGCTCTGCCTATTTGGTGGCTAAGATGCCAGGTACAGCCTTCTGAGGCTCTCTCTGGGCGAAGTCCCTGCTGAGCGATGATGGGAGCAGGGGGCTTTATTTGTTGCCAGAGCTATGATGGGGTTCTCATCTCGCTGGGAAACGCGAGGAGCCTGCACTTTTGTTTCCTTTGGGATTTCTAACCCAGCCTTGGTCAGTTTTCTACAGCATTTGCATCCTGACTTTCTGCAAGTGGGCATTTCAGATCCGATCCCAGAGTGGGCAGGGCTGGGGTTTGTTTGAGATGGTCCCAGTCTTTCCCTGAGAACGGACAGGTACCAATGGAGTTTGTCTGCAGCCCTTTCTTCTCTGAAGATGGAGTTTTCCTGTAAGCCAGAAACAGGTTGGTCTCCATGGGCGACTTTAACATCACATTTGAGCAGATACCATCCCAGCCCCCAACAAAGCGGCCTTGAGTGTCCCCGCCTGTGTTGGTCAGGCGGAGCTTCCCTGCCCGCCCCCTGTTTCTCTGTTCCCCAGGCTGTGGCTGCACAGTAGCATGGGCTGATTTCAGTAAGTACAATGGAGTATGGCAAGGCTTTAGGGCTCAGGGCAGCTTTCAGAATTTCTTTCCCAGAGTCCTCCTCAGAGGCGCCTCGGAAACCCAGCTGCCTCATCATTGGCTGAAATGGTCCGGGGACACCGCCCCCCCCCTGCCCTCTACTTCCTGTAACCTGTTTCCCAGGTTCCTTGTGCCTTTAGGTGACACCGACCATCCTCAGACCTTCAGAGACTGTGCCCCGGGGCAGCCCATGAGCTGCGTTGGGTGTCAGGAGGTGCGGCGAGGGGTCCTGAAGCATGGGGACTCACAAAAGCAGTATGGGTTCCTTTCGGAATATGTGAAAATTTATATAGATAAGCACAAATAAGACTTTATAGTCTTAGCCTCTAGATGTGACATTGTATATTTGTGTAAATTTTCCCACTCGCTGTTTTTAAATGAAGATGATGTCCCATTTGTATCAATTGTTCTGCTCTCAGATTCTATCTTAATATATTTTTTAAGCTTATAAACTTCATGTTATTTTTATAATAGGATCCTTAATAGCTACAAAGTGTTCAATCATATAGCGTCTATTCCTTAGGGTGTTTACTGAATGCAGAAATTTTTGTTGATTTATTCTAAAAAGCTATTACTTTGTGTCAAAGAGAAAATACCATTTATTCATTTTTTTCTGTTTCTCATTCACAAAATCTTAACGTGTAGAATTGATGTCCATGTGTTTTCTGAGTTATTTCACAGCGATTGCGACAGAATCAGGGGTTGGAGTGTCCCGTTACCCCCACAGATGCAACCCCACATCAGCAGACCTTCACAGTCCTGGTTTGGTTTGATTCCATTTTCAACACCGGATCCAGAAACATTGTTTCCCCAGGAAAAAGACCAACTCATTCTTTGGAGGAAACATTTTGACTGCACATTTAAAGTGGCCTTGCTTGACCCCTCCTCCCTTTCTCCCTGAATGACACCTACCTGAGCTCAGACATGTGCCACCAGCCTGGGGGTCCCCGTTCCCCTACAGCTAACCAGATACATCCATCACTCCTCTTCTTACTTCTCTGTCCCCAGGTTTCTTCTTGGGTTCTCTTTTCCTTGACAAGGCTGTTTTGTATACATCTTCATGGCCTCTGCTCTTTCGTATGAGGCTTGGACCCTGCTTGATTGTGTCCCTGCCTTTTAAAGATTGCTCGCCAGAGTGGGTCCATTTGCAAAATCCCAGCCTCTGGACCCTGAAGAACCTGGAAGGCCCTCTGTGCCCGACCTTCAGCCTGTGGCCTGGGGAGAAAGCCTTTTACCCCTTTATTTTGAAGAGCACAGACAGCCAGTAGTCATTATAAGCTCAGACTACTTAACTTTCCATGGCTGTAACAAATACCTGAACTAAACCAACTGAAAAGAGAAAAGGGTTATTTTGCTCTGAGGTTTTAGGGATTTTGGCCCGTGATCAGTTGGCTGCTTTGCTTTTGGGGCTATAGCAAGTCAACACCAACTGTGAAGGTAGCGTTCAACTCACAGCAACCAGGAAACAAGGAGAGAAAGCGGAGTCCTCACAGGGTCCCAACACCCTCTTCAAGGGCATCCTCAGTGACCGACTTCCCTCCCCTGGGCCCTACCTCCTTCATTGTACAGTTCTGGGCATCAAACCCAGGGCCTCATGCATGCCAGAAAAGTGCCCTGACCCACACCCCCAGCTCCAACCTCTTAAAGGTTTCCAACTAGCGACTGGGCGTGTGTGAAATGTGAGGCTCACAGGACTTTGGGAACACATTTAAGGTCTAGAGAACAGCCTAGGCAAATATCTCCTGTATTTTCCTCTTCTCCCTGGCCGGTGCTGGTCCCATGAGCCCTGGCTGAGAGACCATAGTCTCCCAAACCAGAGGGCCCAGCTATGAGGCAGGAAGAACTGCTTGGCGGTCTGGGCTCTCACAGCTGAGTTCTTAGCTCCTGTGGAGGATGAAAGAGATGCCAACATGAGACTTAGGGATCCACTCCAGAAGATCCTGGGGCAAGGAGCCTTGAGCCTCCTGGGCGTAGCCACTTGAATTTCGAGTGTGCAGAAGCTGGGACTCTCCTGGGCGTTGTGCTGCCTCACGCCTCAGGTGTATTTCATCTGATGGCAGTTTGCCAGATATTCGTCTTGATTCCCTTACTGCCCTCACCTCCATGGTTGCTGGACTAGAGGTGGGGTGGGGGAGAGGTTTCCCCTTTCTCTTTGGAATGGCAGGACCACAGGTAGCCACCCAAGGTCTGCATCAACTTGGGGCTGCCATTGCAATTCTTCTTGCACAACGGGGCAGGTGAGGGTAACCTGCAAGGGGACCTGCAGACAAGAGGCTCCAGGCATCCATGACACCCTCCTCCTCTATCCTGACCAGACCCTGGTTTTTCTACCTCTAGTGGCTTGCATGTCCACACAATGGCACTGGTGTCACCCACTATGCCTGTGTTAGTGACTCACAACCATAATCAAAAGAACACCTGGATGTGAGTCTAAGCACGGCACCTGCCTGCCCTTCCTCTTCTCTCAGACCATGTCAGGGCGAGAGCTCAGAACGGGAGCTAGGTGCATGCTGCTCTTTCCATGCATGGGATAAAGAGGGAGGAGAGGATACTAGCCTCTGGCTCTGCTCCTGGGCCCACGAGACACATTGTGAGTGGGACTGACGGCCCTGTTTCCTGCAGGAGTGAATCTGCTTTTGAGAAAGCCAACGTAGACGTATTCCGGGTGCGGACCAATAATGTGGGCCTCATCTATAAAATCAGGTGAGAGTTTGCCCCTAACATATGGTAGTGGTGATAATCAAAATTGGCATTTCTCTGGATATTGAATCCTCAGCTGACTGACATTTGAGGAATTACTAAAAGCCAGAATTATGTCCCATGTCCCCATCCTGAATCACAGAGCTCCAAACCACATCATTGGAGACTTGCTTTCATGGGCTTGGACAATTGGATGTAACTCCCCACACACAGAGACATAAGTTCTTACAAACACTGGAGCACAGTAATTGGGGATGGATCTCTAGGTCCAAGTCCAAGGTCTTGCTCTGCTGTTTTTTGCTGCAGGATTTTAGACAGTTTACCTATCCATTCCTCTGCTTCCTTCTCTCTAATAACGGTACTTAATCTATATAATGCTAGCGCCCACCAAGTCTGTGTGTAGAGCAGTCATTAAGCCCTCAGTGAGGGCTTTGCTGCAAGATACCTTTGGATGAAAATTCCCCTGATGCTGTTCTCACTGAGGGAGTTTCTGTGAGCTGTATGAAAAGGGGTAACTTCTAGGCTGGCTACAAAAGAAGAGCATTTGATTGTTCCCTTCTTCCTTTCCTAGTCTCGGCTAACCGCCCCATTCGGGTTTATGCTCACTTTAGGCTCATCTGTGGGCTGATTGTCCCTAACTGGGGCCTGGACAGGGCTCAAATGCAGCTTCTGTTCAGTCCTGACTCTTCTTTTCCCCACTAGAAAATTTGGGACCACACAGTCCCTTTGCTGGGAGAGGATACAAGGGCCACAGGTACTGGTTGTGTACAGGGAAGGGAATACAAGCAGAGAGGGAACTCTCTCAGGGAGGTCAGGAGGGGAAGGTGGTAGGTATATAGGAAATGGTCTGACCAGGCAGAGGCATGAGACCATGTAGAGGACAGGCCCAGTGGATCGGGTTGGTCATCTGTTTATTGGGGTCATGGGCTGTACCGGACTGTGAATTACTGGCATAAAGCTTCAGAATGATGGCCTGGAATGAAATGTTGCCTGTACTATGAGGTCATCTAGTGGCCATGCTCTAGGGAAGAAATTAGGCACAGGTGGGGGCTGTGGGAAGTGAGAAGATTTGGGGCACGGATTCGGAAGACTCTGTATCTATGTCACCCAGCACAGAAGGCATTGTGGCTGCTGTGCACTTAAAATACAGCTGACTCACTCCAAGTGTGCTGTGTGGATAAAACAGACACCAGGTTGTTGTTTTTTAAGACTTAACAGGAGAAACAGAATGTACACCACATTGTTACATTTTACACGATCATGTGTTAACATGGTAAGTGGAAGATACAGTGTATTGTTAAGATCAATTCTATCAGTTTCTTTATATCGTCAAGGTCAAGGCTACTAGAGCAATCTAGAATTGTATGTTTGGCTCACATGAACTTTCTATGGGACAGTCTTGTTCTAGATGGGGACCCTTGGATGATGACAACTAAGGATGGTGCCCGGGGTGAGGGCCACTAAGAGAGGAACTTGATAACTTAGGAGTGATGGGACAGGACGGTTTACCCAGGTGCCAGGTCCCACCAAGTCCAAAGGGCTAGGTGCTTTCTGCTCTCTACTTCTTTCTTCATGCCCTCCTTTTAATAATCCTTTTTAGTAAGAACTGGATCAGGTGTCTTTCTCGTCGTGACTCTGATAGGCTCCCAAAGGTGATGCGCGTGTACAACTCAGGTCAGAGCAGAAGGGGTGCAGCGCTGGCAGAGACCGAGGTTAGGAAGCAGCACAGGCCCTGCCAGGCACAACTCAAGGCTCTCCTACCGAGAGCCCCTGTGGCAGTATGACAGTATAGCGGTCATTAATATGCACATCTGCCTTGCAAAATATCCCCATTAATAGACAAGGAAACTTAAAACCAAAGGGAACAAATGACTGGGCGTCTCTGAAGTAGTCATTGGGTACCCTCCTATGGAAGGGGCATCGCAACATCCTGATTCTGCCAGTAAAATGTGGGTGTTGGCTTCTGCCGCAGGATCGAGCATGACAACACAGGTTTGAACGCCAGCTGGTACCTGGACCGGGTGATAGTGACCGACATGAAGAGGCCCCATCTCCGCTACTACTTCAACTGCAACAACTGGCTGAGCAAGGTGGAAGGTGACCGCCAGTGGTGCCGTGACCTCCTGGCCAGCTTTGACCCCATGGATATGCCCAGAGGTCAGTAGCTAGCCTGCCTGGGCCTGGCTCCTCACTGTGCTCTGGAAGCTATCCTCCCCCTTCCATGCTTTCCTCTTGACTTATGCCAAGTGAAAGCCGATCTGTGCTGGCTAGTATTTGTTTAGTGAAGGGGAAAGGGATGTTGGGGCGGGAGAAGAGAGGCAGCTCCTCTGTGGTCAGTCACTCAGCTGAACAACACATTAGCAAAATCATGACTCTGTCCTCTGGGATAAGCCTGTGCTGTCTCCAAGTCCCACCCGCTCTTCAGTCCACCCTGGAGGAAGTGAGCATTGCTCCAGACAATGGGCTGTGGTTCCCCATTTCTCTACCTACCTCTGACTTCTCACCTCTCAAACAACTTCAAGCTCCAGGCATTTCTTCTTGTAATCCCTATCTCACTAAACCTAAAACCTCATTGAGTCTTCTGAAAAATGTTATCAGGATTTTATTTTCTTACAAAGCCAAATTTCATCATTGCACCAAGTTTAGAAAATAGACACATGAAAATATTTTTAAAAAAGAATGCTTTAATCCCATCACCTGGACAAATACCACCTGCCAGTGACCAATGCATTAATTTCCAGTCCTTTCTATGCACGTGTACTATGAAATAATGGGCTGGCGTGTCTCTGTTCTATGGCATGGTTATTTCTATGTCATCAAATACTACTTACCATTCCTACTCTCACTGGCTCTGTATGGTCTAGAAAAGTGGTTCTCATCCTGTAGGCTGCTACCCCCAAAGACCACCAGAAAACAGATATTTACATTACAATTCATAACAGTAGCAAAATTACAGTTATGAAGTAGCAATGATAATGGCTTGGGTCACCACAATGCAAGAAACTGTATTAAAGGGTCACAGCATCAGGGAGGTTGAGAACCACTGCTCTAGAACACGTCATTTGCTACTGAATCTCTCATCATTGGACGTCTGTGGTGTGTCTCTCTCCTAAAAACACACCTAAATGCATTGTTTAGATTTTGGGACTCTTTCCCTAAAGTAATTTCCAAAGTAAAATTTCTAAGCCAAACAATAAGCCCATGGTTAAAGCTTTAAAATTTTTATTTTATATTATTTCATGTGTGTGTATGTGTAAGTGTGTTGTATGTGTATACAAATGCAGATTTGTCAGACTGCATATGTGGAGGTCAACTTGAAGTTTATTCTTTCCTCCATGTTGTCAGGCTTGGCAACAAAGAAGCCACCTCACTAGCCTGGTTCAAATGGCCACAGGAAGTAGATATCGGATAGTGCACAGTACCACGAATGCAATTCTGCCCACACTTGGTTAGCAGAGTGTAATCTTTTCCAGTTGGATTATAAAGGCCTTCCAATGTTCTTCTTTGGTTACTAGTATAACCGAACATTTCATGTTTATTGACAGTTGTTCACTTTAAATTTTGTTGTTGTTTTTGTTTGGTTTTGGTTTCTCGAGACAGGGTTTTCTCTGTAGCTTTGGGGCCTGTGCTGGAACTAGCTCTTGTAGACCAGGCTGGCCTCGAACTCACAGAGATCTGCCTGCCTCCTGAGTGCTGGGATTAAAGGTGTGTGCTGCCACCACCACCTGGCTAAATTTTGTTTTTTGATAAATTGTATTATATATATTTGAGACTTGCTAGAAATTCTGAGATATGTTATGGACAGTAAAATGGTTTCTCTCTCTCTCTCTCTCTCTCTCTCTCTCTCTCTCTCCACGTGTATGCATTCCCATACATATGGAAATTGTCTGCTCATTGCTCTTTGCCTGTCTTTTCCTCTGGGGTGAATTTCCCCAAACTGTACATGTCTTGAGTTTTTGACAGAGTCTATCAGGGTCAGTCTGTTGTGATATAAAACAGTTCTACACTAGCCCAGAACAGAGTATAACAAAAGTTTATTTATTTGAGGGCAAACTCACAAAAAGAGTAGAGATCCACAGTCCTCTGCGTGTGCAGGGAACTGAAACCTAATCCAGCATCCAAGAGGCCCACATAAGTTTTTACGTCCACATTTATAGTAAATTAGACCATGCCCAAAGTGGGCTAGCATCCCAAAGGCCATTGGCTGAAGGAGTTCCCATAACACCTCCTTCTTTTGTCTAAATAAGAGTGTTCCAAGCCCAGTACAAAACTGTATACAATAAGAACAAAAATCAAGTATAAAAATTAGAATTACAAACAACACAAACAACACCAAGCAAGAAACATATGCTAAATGTTTCAATAGTCATCCTATCCTAAGGTGTCTAAGTCTTGTATTAGAAATGGCTTGGCTAAGTCACAAGAGGAAAGTAACTACAACTATCTTGTCTTCAACCCCATCAAAGACCTGAGAAGGGAAATAATATTACATGAGTAAACAGGAAGTGCAATCAAGCAACTTCCAAAAAGTGCAAGAAATGATAGAGACAACCAGCTACCTGGGCAATCACCCAAAGTCTCATTTGCAAAGTTTGGGCAACCAGCTTTAGCTAAGGCCTAGAGTAACTGACAGACCACTTTCAGAGGCAGGAAAATTTGAAAAACCATCTTACCCTGTCTTGGCAAGGTTTGGCAGTCTTTTTGCTTGTATCCTGCTTGTCCAGTCTGGACACCATGCATTTTGTCAGTGGTTGAGGCAGGGCCAGTTCTTTGCCCAAGGACCAGTTTTGCCAAGAAGAAAACAAGCTCCAAGTGGTGTGTCTTTGGTGCCCAACATTCTCTCAGGAATAGATCAGTGCTACCGGGAGCAATCATGTCTCATGTCAACAGAGTCCTAAGTTATTTAAATGTCATATTCTATAGCTCTTTGAAGTGGTTGAAGATGACCTATCTATGTGAAATACAATCTCTATGCATCTAAAGAACCTGATTAGTCTAACTATGACAAACATAGATGATTATTGGCCTATAATTCTTAATACCTATATAGCTTAAAGACTAAGGCTTAATATTAAAATATCAAACAATCTTTAAACAAATGTGAAGCAAATGAAGACAATGACCTCAAAATGTAAACAATGTATAAGTGTCTTGATCAGAGGTAGAAATGTATAGTGCAATATGATAAATACATCCTAAAATTGCATCAATATACAAAATATATTAAGCAGAGGTAGAAACATGAATTCATACAATTGGATAAAATAACTTTGCATAGGTGCATAAATATTATAAACAGAAATAGGAGCATATTCAATATAGCAAATAGAATTTGAATTTGTATCAATATATGAGAATCTATACCAATGTAAATTATCTATAAATAATAGCTCACAAGTATTCTCACTATTACTAACTATTATTAGTTATTATCCCATCAAATTACCATCTCTTCCTTTTCTCTTCTCCTGTTCTTGGCATTTTTCCCCACTTCCAGTTCCTCATCTGACCTCCTGCTTTGGCCACACAAAAGTCTAGGGCAGCGCCATTGGGTAAAAAGCTCCTGGAAAGTCCCCCACTAAGAAAGAATAGATGCAGCTCAATGGTCCTCTGACTTTCCATGAGAGTCATGCACCACTGACCCGGTATCTGAGTCCTTGCTTGGGTCTAGCCTCGTCACTGGCTGCAGGACATTGGGCTTTGGTACTTACAGGCTAGATTCCAGATAAAGAAATGAAAAAGGATCTTCAAATATTGACTCAGTTCTACCAGCTAACAAAAGGTGAAGGCTTTTTGTTTTGTACCTGGAATCCCACCAATTTGATACTTAACTGCTATCGGAGGTCTTTGATGATAAAAATAGGGAAGATAATTAGTTCTTTACTTCCGCCGTTTAGTAGGAGGAATATTTAAAACCTGGAGAGGAGGCAGTAATAGGAGGACAGAGGAAAGGGAACAATTTCAATTTGTTGTTATCAACCCCAGCACTGTCAGAGAAAAGACAGTTGTTTCACAGACTTCTTATTCTTCTCCCCATCCCCAAGGGGGGCCTGCAACAAGTTCTGACTGATACCCAACTGAACCTTCTTCTCTTCCAGTAAGGCAGGCATTCTAGGATGCCCTGAGGACCCAGTCCTGAGACATCTAGCTAATCAGGATCTAAGTATCAGTATCAGGCACAGGAGAGCTTTTGCTGTGGGTAGCAGCAGACGGCAGCAGTGAACCCACGACAGGACTTCAGAAGGCCTTTGTGTCCAGAGCTCCCCTTGACATGCACATCCTGGGCAAGAGCCCAACAGGTTTCTAACGTTTAGACAGCCTTGTTAGTTAGCACTGCCTTCTCCTTTGCTGGAGCCCAGTGAATAGAACAAGGACATTAGAAAAGGCCAAGGCAGGAGATCATGAAGGAAACAGCTAGATGTTGATCAACCTCACAACTTTGCGGATAGAGGACCTTAAGATGGAAGATGTTGCCACTGAGTTTGGTTTCTTAGTTACTCTCAGCAGGTTGAGAAATGCCTGTATGGCTTCTTAAGGAAGTCAGACACACAATCAACCAAAAAAAAAAAAATTCTGTCCCGTGCTCCCCTTAATTAGGCAGATCATTTCCCAATTCACCTGGGGTTCCCCAACCCTAGCCAGTCACATTTCACCTTCAGGGGTCCACCTTCTTCATTCACCATGTACGCTAGCCACCACTTTTCCTTCTTCACCTTTTCTGAGACACAGGGTGCAGCTCTTCCATACACGCTGCTCTCTAGAGCTGTACACCTCAGCTCCACATCAGCACGCAGCAGTGAGGATGTGCCTCCTTAGATAACCCTAGCATACTAATCCTGGGATCTCCCAGACTACCCGGTGCACAGACTACATCTGGGGAAATACCACTGACTCCCTTTGGAAAGCAGAGCAAGAGGGAAGGCAGGAGGGTGTCCACCACAATCTCCTCTCTTCTTAAGTCCTTGCTTAACTGGTCTTGTCTCTTTGTGAACGAGAATGAGGCAAAGGAGGTCCTAGCAGGTGTTCATTACACTGAGGTTCATCCGAGACCAAATGAATATCGCCGAAAGAACTGAGACCAGAGTCGGGGTCGGCTTGTCCTCAGCTGAACTGCCTCCTGACTGTATCTCGGGCAGAGCAAGATCAAGGGCAAATCA